AGGGGGGCTGATAGAAGGGAGGAAGGATTAGGGGAGGCAGTGGTCAGAAACAAAACATTTTTAAGGATGGAAAGGGTGAAAGAAGACAGATAAAGATAAACAGTAGAGAAAAGTAGGATGAAGGGAAATACACAGTCAGTACACATAATTGTTGATGTGAATGGAATGAACTCATCTATAAAACACTAGCACATAGCACAGGGGATTACGTGATTTAGGAATAAAAAAAGATACAATAACAAATTAAGGAAGCATGGAATAATTAACTATTGTGCTATAAGAAATGATGAGCAGGTGGACTTCAGAAAAACCTGACAAGATTTGTGTGGACTGATGCTGAGTGAAGTGAGTAGATCCAGTAGAACATTGTACTCAGTAACAGCCACATAGTGTGATGACTAACTTTGATAGACTTAGCTCTTCTCAGCAATGCAAGGATCTAAGACATCTCCAAAAGTCTCATTATGGAAAATGCTATCCACATCCAGAGAAAGAACTATGGAGTCTGAATCAAATCAAAGCATACCATTTCCTCTTTTTTTTTCTTCTCTTTTGTTTTGTTTCTTGTTTCTTGTGGTTCTTCCTATTGGTTCTAATGCTCATTGATCAGATGATAAACACATACCTCCCATTTGTTGGAAGTATGGGAGAGATAAATCATGCAAAAAGAGTCCCAAAGTACAAAGTTACTGCCACTTATCTCATTTTATAGATTACAGATGAGGAAGTTGCTCAGAAAAGTTGGTTCCTCCCTGTCTTTGTTGTACAAGATTTCTGATGCAGCCTTAGCCATTAAATACCAATCAGAAGAGCTCCTTAAGTCCATTAATAAAAGGGCAAGGGCTCTTGCTTACTTCATAGGAATTGCCCCTTCTTAACCAAGGTCAATGCCGTATAATCTCACCAAGATGACCCGAGAGAGTCCCTCCTATATAAGCCTCCTACAATAGTGAGATACACATCTGTTCAATGCTTTTCATAGTAATACAAATACCATATGATAATATATGTTATATGACTCACATGGATCATTTTGGTATTGAGCTTGAATTCTTAGTAAGCTTTTCTACAGAGTAAAGTAATAAATCTATTAAATGCAGGTCTTGAAAGAGTTGCTCATTTTAATTATTTAAAGTCCCCTATTCAAGTCAGGATTCTACTAGAAAGAAATCATATTTGAATATATGAAATACCATTTACAATCCACAAGGATCAATAAATCAAATATAAAGGACTACTTCTGGTGAATGAAATCTTCATTGGCATTATTAAGAACACTTGATTAAATGTCTCTATGAAATGATTTGTAGAATATTTCAAGAAGAGAACAGTTCATCTTTCCTTAAATGACCTGTAAATGTCAATGGGACAATAGCATACATGCAGTATTTTTGGCTACTCCTAGTCATGAAATTATGAGTATCCTAAGTGTAAACCTTGAGTAGAAGAAAAAAAAATTTCTAAAGGCCTGAGTCCCTCTGTATAGTAAATAATGAAATATCCCTTAGAATCATTCTCATTTGATAAGACTTTACAAATTCGTTCTCAATACATAATTACTACATTTGAGGAAAGAAAAAAGCATACTATCATGGATGTTTTGCAGTGGAAACATTTTGGGGGTTCTAACGGTTTGCCAACCAATTTAAACAACAGATGTGACTTGATAAGTTAACCAGATTTGTAAAGTAGCTTCTGCTATGTAAGCAGCATTAATCAGAATTGTGCATAGATATAAAGGATTCTCTCTCTTTTTAAAAATATTAGTTAGTTTTAGTTTTCAACATTCACTTTTATATGATTTTGAGTTTTAAATTTTTTCCCTCTTTTCCCTTCCTCCCTCCCCAAGACCTCATGCAATCTGATACCGGCAATACATGTGCAATCATATTAAACATACTTCCACATTAGTCAAGTTATAAAGAGGAATTAGAACCAAAGGGAAAAACCATGAGAAAGAAAAGAAAAAGAAGGAAAAATAGTATGCTTTGATACACATTCAGACTCCACAATTATTTCTCTGGATGTGGATTTTCCATCATGAGCCTTTTGAATTGTCTCAGATCATTTCATTGCATTAATATAAATGATTCTCCTTCATCAATTTGCTTTTTACCATTTATATTAAATATATTAATGTTCATTAGGGCTATGAGATTTAATGATTTAATTTGAAAAAAGACATTCCTTGTTTTCCATAAGATAAGAAAATATCTCTCTTTTGTCACCTTGATAATCAATTCTGATATTTCTATCATTGAAAGAGAGTAGTAGCCCACATGAAAATGGTGTATAGGCTAAAAAAAATCTGTTATATTTGGATGGAAAATGTGTTTTGGTACTTATATTTGAATATTAGTATATACAATATTATTGAAATTAATGGTATATGAAACAAAATAAAGAAGCTTCAGTGTAAACAGTTGATTAAAGAGAGGTTGGGAATAGTTTCTTGTTGTCTTATTCCAGTACCCTGCTCTCATTCTCTTTGGTTGTTTGAGATTGTTTCAACATCTCTCAGATTGGTGCAAATATATGCCAGTCCAAGATTAATCATATAAAGGCTTTCAATCTGAATTTCATACCTTTGGGTAGCAGAGATACTAAGTGGGGAATAACAAAGTTTTCAGAAAGTAATTAAATCATTTAGCATTTTGGCCTGGAGGGGACCTTTCCCATCTCCAGATTGATTAGAATGACAGGTTTTGTTATGTCAATATTAAGCAAAATAGACAACTCCCAAAAGAACTTGAGGGCAATTTAGATAATCTGCCTGAGGATAATTGACAATCAAACAGATTTCCATTTTATTAGAAAGGACAAGCACGCTTGTCCAGTAAATAATCTCAGCACCATATTGCTTTAGCATATCTTCTTCCATTATCTAACTTGATATATTTATAAATCCAAAGTAATGATTTAGAAATTTTCCATTATCCTAATTGTTTTAATTTACCAAGAGTTTAAATCCCATCTTGTTATGTTTTTGGAGTTTTGTTCTATGCAATGGCACAAAGCTGAATATGCAAACTCTGCAATTGTTATGATCTGGTCTCACCTTTTCTACTATATATCTTCAAGTTGATATCAAAACCAACTTCCCAAGTAGAACAAAGATAACATATATGTTCCCTTTCCCCCAAGTGAATGTGCCTTAGAAAATGATGTGAGGCTTATTCAGATGTTTGCATTGGGATATAGTTGTGGTCTTTGACTAATTATGATTTTATTCTCATGTCCCTTCCATTCTTGAACCTAAATGTTGCATCTATTATTATCCTTCTCATCTGTATAATGCATAGAGAATTGGACCTGGCGTTGGGTGATCTGTGTTTGAATCCTGCTTCTGGAACTTAAGAGCTGAGTGAACTTGAGAAAATCATTTAACTATTTAGAGCCTTAGTTTCCTTACCTGCAAAATGGGACCACTAATATTCAGTTTGCCTAATGTGAAGGAAAGCAGTTTTAATAACTTAAAGTGTTATACAAATATGAGCACAGACATAGTTCAGGACTAGAACTAGAAACAAAGCTATAGTATATGCCAAAATTTTCATAGCAGCACTCTGTCATAACAGAGCTGGGACCAAAGGGAATATCCATTCATTGGTGAATGACTGAAGAAAGATATGGTCTATTAATATAATAGAATATTATTGTGCAGTAACATTAGCAACATGGGCTTTCAGAGAAAAATGGTAAAATTTTTAATATATAGATTTAAATGAGCAAATCTTAGAGAAATAATTCAATCATGATTTTGTTGTTATTGTTTAGTCAGTTTTCATTTGTATCCAACTTTTTACGACCCCTTGTGGGGTTTTTTTGGAAAAAGATACTAGAGTGCTTTGCCATTTCCTTCATCAGTTCATTTTATAGATGAGGAAACTGAGGTAAACAGGGTTAAGTGACTTGCTGAGGGTTACACAGCTAGCAAGTATCTGAAGCTGGATTTGAACTCAGGAAGATACTCCAGACATAGCACTCCATTCACTATGCCACCTAGCTGCCCATAGTGATGTAAATAAAAATATAACTAAAATATAATCTAAAAATTGAAAAACAAACAAACAAATATTGAAAGTTCCAATAAAGGGGCAGCTAGAGAGCACAGTGGATGGAGCAGCTGCCCTGGAGTCAGGAGGACCTGAGTCAAAATCTGGTCTTAGACACTTATTAACTATGTGACCTTGCACAAGTCACTTAACTCTGCCTAAAAAAAAAGAAAAGAAGACAGAAAGTTTCAGTAAAGAAATAGAAAATATGCTTTTCCTTATAACAAGGGGAGTTTTGATGGGGACAGGAACAAAATTAATGTGATATAAAAATAAATAAATTATATATTTCAAAAATGTGACCCTCTATGCATGCTTTATGTTATTCCCCACATTGTGTCAAGTAGCAGGGTTTGGGCACTTACTCACTCTGTGACCCTGGGCAAGTCACTTAACTTCTGTTTGTCTCAATTTCTGTAACTATATAATGGAGATAATAATAGTAATTACCTCATAAAGTTGTTGTGAGGATAAAATGAGATAATATTTGTAAAAATGCTTGGTACAGTGCCTGAAACATAGTAGGCAGTATGTAAGTGCTTATTCTTTTCCTTTTTCTCCATCTCCTGATAGGTAGCTATAGCAAGAAGAGGTAATAGGTCCTAGCTAATTATATGACAGTTGAGACTAAGACCATTGGCCAAGGGAGCTTCATTCTTCTCTTGAGCTCACTAGATCCTGTAATCCTGACTCAGTGTACCTGTAGTTTTTTGTTTCATTTGGCTTAGTTTTGTTTTTCAGATTTTATAAAAGCTTTTACTTTGAAGTTATAACAATACCAAAAGTACAAACACCACCCTCATGAAGCCTCTGAAAAACTCAGAGTCATACTTCTCTAGACCACTTTATTCTCCGGGAAGATTGGGATCTGACTTAAGTTGGTGTTGATCCTTCTACACACTCATTCAAATGTGGCGTCACTGAATGAATAGTCATCTTACATACCACTGGGCAGAATCATGAAGGTCACTGCTTGCTCCATGGGCCATTGACTTTTATTTAGCTGGTAGTAAATACAGCATAGACTCAACTCCCAGACTGGCCAGATCCAGGGACTCCCAGACTTCTCCATGCTTGTTTTCTTGATGTATTAAAACTCACAAGTGTTTAATCTCCACCTAAAATGAAATAATAACTGCTGAGGGAGGCAAAGAATTATTGCTCATATTCACAGGGTCACATATCAGACTCAGGATAGTAGAGAATGTTCCAAGTCTTCTCTCCTATTACAGCATAATCTCTCACCAAATGACATCAGTAAAGGAGTCCAACTAGGAGATCCACCAATGACCAATCATTCTGGATGCATTTCTAGCATTGAATGGAAATTGTATTGTCTTAATTATGTTCTTTTGCTAAATTAAAATGACTTTGGGCCTGATCTTAATATTGATTGGCATAGAAGCTTTAATTTGCCCCATTTTGTGACCTAGGCTTGTTCAGCTTTCCTTAGGCAGCATGGGTGATGACTCTTGCTCCCAGAATGTATCATTTTGGTGTAAGACTTTGTGCCTACACAAGATTGGCTTTGGCTTGACTCAAGGGATCCATAAGCCTAAGCCTTCCAGGATCAAGTGTAACAGGCATGCTAACACTCTGGCTGGGAACAATTTTCTAGCCAAATAAAGTATACTAATGTATTACAAATTTCTTATGCAGTCATTAGCTGTGTAACCCATCATAAAAAGGCTCCTGATAAAAGCACCTATTCTGTTTATATACGTCTTTACAAATGAACACCTAGTGAATAGCAACTTTCTTGAACATAGTTGACGTTCAGTTAATTCAGTTGTGTCCAACTTTTTGTGACCTCATTTGAAGTTTTCTTGGCAAAAATACTAAAATGGTTTAATATTTCCTTCTCCAGCTCATTTTACAAATGAAGAAACTGAGGTAAACTGGGTTAAGTGACCTCAAGGTCACACAAGTAGTAAGTGTCTGAAGCCAGGTTTGAACTCAGAAAGATGAGTCTACCTGATTCCAGATATAGCTCTCAATCCACTGTGCCACCTAGATGCCCTTGAACACAGACCTACATACTATATCCCAAATTATTTTATAGGTAACTATATTTATATTTTCATACAAACTATTTTCTCTCGGTTATCTTTTATTTTTCTAACAAAGTTTTCTCTTTTTTGTTAATATAAAATTGTTATATGTATATATTTTTTTATTAGCATGTAATATATATTCATGATATATTTAGTATTATGTCTATCATCCATCTTAATTTCTCTCCCTCCTTCTCTTTCTCTCTTTCTTTATTTCCCTGACTCTTCAACAGAGGAATGAAAGATTCCTCTACTGTTTCACTCTAGGCCTACCTTCATATTGCCTACATGCAGGAAGGCAGATGCTGTACCTTGCTGGAACTGTAGCTGTATAGGCTTCCTGACAGAAGCTTTCCCAAATTTAGAGAATAAAGAAGATATTTCATCATGGATATGCCAACATAAGCTATATGTCAAGGGTAAAGGTAGACTCATAGTAGAGTGATCAAGGAGAGTTCAGTGGTCAGGAATACATATTTTAGAACTTTTTAAGTTTCAGGAGATAGCAGTCTCTGAAATAGATAGCAAGACTTAGGTTGCCAATAGAAACAAGTGATCCAGAGACAGTAGTAACATCAAAAGAGGAAGCCAAGTCAAAATCAACAACATAGCCACAGCAAACTGGACATGAAGCCCCAGCATTCAGCAATTATAGGTTTAATAAGGACTGAGCAACATTTATTGGATATGATGAAAAACCAATTTTGTTACACTTGCCAGTCAATAGTCATACATTGCTAGCTAAAGCGAGCCTTCCAAAGCCAGGCTTCATTTTTTTTTTTTTTGTCTTCCACTAAATTCCCTTCGGCTGGAGAGCACTTGCTACTTAAGCTGCCTTTATATCCATAGAAATGGGTGTCTATCTGGTGATAGAATACTGTGGAGGCAACAGTCTTGATTGTAAGAACATCACTGTCTGTCTTTTGACGCCTTGTATGATAAGGGGATTTTCTTTACTAGTTTCTTTCCATTTCAAGAATGCTTGCCATTTAATGGAACACGAGATGAATTAAGGATAATTTAGAGAAGAATGAGGAAAACACAGTGGTTCTTCATCACACCTTTCTCCTCCCTTTTCTTGCCACACAGGACTGGCTTTTAATGTAATTTCAACATATGTTACAGAGTTGTGGAATCAGGAACTGAAACTCAAAACTTGAAATCTTTGTTGGCTGATACCTTTATGGTATGCATCTATTTATAACTAAGTATATTTAAAAAACAGGCATTCAGCTAAGCTGCAAAATAAAAGCTTTACTCTTTGTTAAGTCTATAACCAAGCATTCACTTTACTTCCCATAGACTTCTTGTGACTATGACATTTGTGTTTTACATGCCAATCATTGGAGGTTAGATAGTATTTTTTCTAAGTTTAGCATCTAAATGGGGCAGTGGATAAAGCACTGAGGCTAGATTTAGGAAGACATGATTTTAAATGCAGTGTCAAATTCTTCCTAAGCTGTGTGCCTGGGGAGGGCAGGGCAAGTAAAAACCTCAGTTTCAGTTTCTTCAACAGTAACCTGGGGATAAAATAAGGCCTACCTTCCAGGGTTATTATAAGGATCATCATCATTATTACTGTTTAATTATAATAGTTTCAGCCCTTACTTTTCCACACTGTTGTGTAGTTGTTGCCTTGGAAAATAAAGTTTGTTTATTTGATTTTTCTTCTTCCAAGTTGTCATAGAACTATTAGGAAGAAAGAAGAGGAAATATGTAAATTCATTTCATTTTATTTTGATGTCACTGAATTTTTTCTCTAGTTAATATAAATCACTACATAAAGATGGAGGGCAAAAATAATCTGTTTTTGTTACCACACTTCCTCTTATTTTCTAAATACCAATATATAGATATACTTTTATATTTCAAAAGATAATATATTTAGAACTGGACGGGACTTTAAGAAAGAAACAAGCTCATGGAAAACTATTAAGAACTTCATCATTATTAGGGCAGTTAAAAGTCTATATAAACAGAGGTTGTGGGAGTGACTAAATTATGTTGAGATTATTCTGGCCCCCCCCCAAAAAGAAGGGATGAGAAAGAGAAATGCAATGGGAGAAGGGGGAAGAGAAAGGGAAATGGGGAAAAAAATCTTACAGAAAAGGTACACAAGTAAGAATTTTTACAATGGAGAAGAAAATGGAAGTTTGAGTTGGTAGACAACGCTTGAATGAGAATTGATTCAAATTGGTTCAAAGAGGGAGAAATATACACACATTTTGTTGGGTATAGAAATCTTTCTTACACAACAGGGAACTATGAGGGGAAGGCGATAAGAAAAAGGGGAGTCTTAAAAAGGGGGGCAGATTAAAGGAGGCACTGGTCAGAATCAGAAACAGTGTTCTAAGAAAAGACAGGAAGAGAGAGAGGGGAAGAGAAAAAGAGAGGGAGAAAGAGAGAGAGAAAGAGAGAGGTAGAGAGAGACAGAGAGAGAGAGAAGAGAGAGAGAGAGAGAGAGAGAGAGAGAGAGAGAGAGAGAGAATAAACAAGATAATAGGATTTATGTAAATACATAATAATCATATCTGGGAATGTGAATGGGATGAACTTACCTTGAAATGGAAGTGGATAGCAGAGTGGATTAGAAAAAAAGAATCCAAGAGTGTGTTGTTTGTAAAAGACAAGCACATACAGAGTAAAAAATAAGGGGATGGAAGAGAATCCATTATGATTCAGCTGAAGTAATAAAGGGTAGGGATAGCAATCGTGTTCTCAGGCAAAGCAAAAGCAAAAGCAAAAATAGACCTATTAAAAGAAATAATGATAGAAATTACATTTTACTATATGATGCCAAAGACAAGTAATGTCTAAAATTTTACAGCAAGTTTCTCAGATAAAGGGCTCATTTCTTAAATATATAGACAACTGAGTCAAATTTATAAGAAGAAAATAACAACCATTCCCCTATTGATAAATAGTCAAGGGATATGAAAAGGCAATCATTCAGAAGAAGAAATCAAAGCTATCTGAAGTTATATGAAAAAAAATGCTTGAAATCACAATTAGTTAGAGAAATGCACCTCACACCTGTCAGAAATGATAAAAGCCACAGGTGATTTGGGAAAATAGGTACACTAATGAACTTCTAATGGGATTGTGAACTGTTTCAATCATTCTGGAAAATAATTTGCATCTATGCTCAAAGGACTATAAAATGGTAAAAACCCATTGATCTAGCAATTCCACTAATAACTCTGTATCCCAAAGAGGTAAAAGTAAAAGGCAAATAACCTATATGTAATTGAACATTGAGAAGATGTCCACCAATTGAGGAATAGTTATGGTATAGCATTGGGATGGAATACTATTGTGTTATAAGAGCCAATGAGGGGTATAGTTTAAGAAAAGCCTAGGAAGACCTATATGATCTGATACAAAGTGAAGTGAGTATAACCAGGAGATCATTGTACACAGTTATAGCAATATTATAATGATGATTGACTGTGGAAGATTTAGCTATTCTTATGAATACAATGATTGAGGGGGCAGCTAATGGCACTGTGGATAGAGCAACCTGAGTTTAAATCTGACCTCAGAGGAGACATTAGACAACTTACTAGCTGTGTGACCTTGGGCAAGTCATTTAACCCCAATTGCCTTACCCCCAAAAAAAAAATTAAAAAAAGAATACAATGATCGAAGATAATCTTGAAGGACTTACAATGAAAATTGCTATCAACCTCCAAAGAGACAAATGATGAATTCTGAGTGCAAGTTGAAGTTTAATTTTCTTGCTTTTTTATAACATGGCTAACATGGAAATATTTTTGCTTGATTTTCCTGTATAGTGTGTAGCATATCACTTGCCTTCTCAGTGTGGGTGAAAAGCTGGAGGGAAGGAGATTATTTGGAATTCACTACCAAAAATGTTAATAAATAAACAAATAATGATTTATTCACCTCCATTGTAACATACTGAGACCTGTACACACCTCATCAAAGATAATTATGATGTCCTCTGGCCAAAATAATTCTTTGCCTTCATGAGATGAGCTCTTCTGTGCTTAGCTAGGTTGAAGCTTTGGTATTAGTCTATTACCCAGCTTACATCCTGAGTCTTTCCAATTTCTGGAACCTTTGAGGGCTTATGTTCTACTGTACATTCTACTAGCCTTGGAGAACT